GCTTTCTTCTCATGGTCGATACGGTACTGCAATGTTCTGCTACCTCTTGGCGGAGTGGGGCTTTTTCCTATGATAGAGGATTTTGCTAATACGCAACCTGTACGAACCTTTGTTTCTTCCCCATGAAAACGATTTTCAAAACATTGCCATCCTCTGTCCTACCCCTGTCCATCGGCAAACTGTGACAGGATGGGTACGTTCAAACACTCACTTGTCCCCCATCCCTAGCTACTCGTGCCCGTTCTCGTGCATTTAGTGAATGTGGTGACGTGGCTCTGATGCCGGCTGGATACCAAGAGCGGCCCTCTGGAATAAAATGTCATTTATTACGAAATAATAAATCCGTATAGCCAACAAACAATACCTCCTACGCGGATACCCAAAATACAGGTGGAATCACCACAGTTCGCTGTCCATAAACGCCCACGACGTAGCAGAACTACACAGGCGGTAGTGCCAGACCTTGACGGAATCGAACCAGAAGAAGCCCATGTACCTTTAGAATGTGGTTTTTATTGCAGTAGCCAGTATGAGGAATTGACGCACTCATTTCTCCCAGCATCTGTTCATTTGTATCGTGAAATGCTTGCCGTAAAGCTTTTTCTTCACTCCAACCACGTCGAATAAGACGATCCACCTGTAAAATTACTTCTTTGCATCGTAAAAAGATTCTCATATTTTGCGGAAAAAGCAAATTTCCGTTCCAACTATCAATCAAAACTCAGAAGCTTGTTCAAAATTCATGTTCTCTATGCTACAGTTTCGCCCGATGATAAGTTCAGTGTTATTAAAACCCAGGTAAGCTTTCAAAGACCAACATGAATAGCGTTTTTTTATTCAAGTCTAGCACTAGCTGATAAAGGGCATAATAGTGATGCTCCTCCAACCCGCACTTTTTTATTATTGCCTGTCTGCAAATTTGTATGTAAGTTCCGAATATCTAAAATTTTATGAAACCTACGGGTCTCACAAACCATTTTTGGCTAGTGATCGACGCCGATTCATTACACTAAATCTCGTTTGCTGGGGAGCTCTATTGATGCTTTACTTGCAAATTTTGATCCTTATCGATTTTATGGATTTTTCTTGCAATATCATTTGAGCTGTGAGGGTGAACTTGATTCAGGTGGATAGACGGACTATTAGTTATGGTATTGAAACCGTTTTATCGAATTTGCTTTGCTATACGAAGATTGGTCAACACGGAGGTTGCTAGAATTTCACTTATGCGCGCATCGCTTTCATTGATTTATTTGGCAATCAATTCGCCCATAAATAGAAACGAAATTCTTATCTTCTGGTTGAACAACGTCCGTTTAGCAAAACTTGTACAAAAGGTCGGAAATGTTCTAATGTG